CATGCGGGGCCGTCGACAATGACATATTATTCAACATAAGATATTATTATTATTATTTAAAACTAAGTTGATAAAAAAAGGATAGTTGTTAGTAGGTCTTATCATAAAGGAAAGAGAGTATTATTATCATATGAATCAGTTAAAAGGCTTAAAGAATAATACTTGAATTTTTAATGAGTCTATATATACATGATACTTATTTTGTAATAACAATTAATATGAAAAAATAATAATTAATCAGATTTATCCATGATGTTCTTTTATAACATTCTAAAGTAAATTTATAATGATTAATATATATATATTATATTTGATATGGGCTTTTATGATTTTTTTTCTCAGTAATTTTAATACCGTGATTTAATAATATAATTGCTCAAGGTTGTAAATTATTTAGATTTTGCAAGCATTATAATAAGTTTAGCATAATCTTTATCCTCTATTGATATAATTAGATGAAAAGATTGTATCAAAAAGCAAATTTAATATTCAATTTTTGAAGAGGAGAGTTTTTGTAAGGTTTGATTTAAATAAATGTCAGCATCTACAAATACTTTCAGAATCAATTAATCATCTTTTTTTAAAATAATTTAAATTATTGTCTTGTTTCTTCTAATCGATAGTACTTTAAATTCTTTTCTGTCTAAATTAAGCTTCAGTTTTATATTTTGTAGTTCGACTCTAATGAAAAGATGCCGTTTTTTTGTGGAAAGGGCTGAACCCTTGTGAATTGTTTTCTAGGATTCCAGTCTATTTATATCGAAATTATTTTTGCCTAACTTAATTTAGTATTTACTACATTTTGTATAAATCTACAGTTTAGGTTACTTTTTGAAGATCATTTTATGTAGGCAAAGGTTTAAGTAAAAATTTCATTTATTTATTACCATTACATCTATATGGGCTAGTACTACTATTTTTTGTATTTTGAGATAATGAACTATCCAATCTTTTTATATGAACCTTTTAATTTTTTTCAGGGTATATTGTTGCAACTTTTAAATCTGGTAGCAGACCATGTAAGAATAATACATTGCCATTGCTATTTTCTTATCTATCTGTGCTTTTGATCATTATTGGAGAGGCATTTGTAGAAGAATAATCACTCTACTTCGATTTCTAAACTTTTTGTCTTATTTTTAAGAAATTTAATAAGTTTGAAGTTTAATAGTATGGTGAAAAATCCTAATTATCATCACTTACATCAGTTTTGGTTAATTTTGATTAATTATCAGATATAGAAAGATATTTTTACCCTGATATATTGACATTATTTTTGAGATTAATGATAATCATCAAACCTTTTATAAAAACGATGGCCTTCTATGTTAATAGCCAAAGATCAAACATTTCAGTGAAATTTTACGGAATCATTTACCTTTTCTCATTTATCCAAGGATGAAGCAAAGCCTAAAAAGCACTGTATCTTTTGGTGGAATCAAGCTCAGTCATTCTTTGAAATAAAGATATCTATTAACTATGTTAAATCAACCAAAATACCGATCCATATTATGAACGTTATTTACTGTATGCATATTTTCCATATTTTTAATTAATTATTCTTGGTTTTATCCATTTGTAAAATATGGATGTTAACCCTTATTTAGCAATTGATACAATATAACTCCTACACTCCACACATCTACATTCTAATTAAATAACCATCATACTTTGTTATAAACTTTTTTTAATAATAACTCTGGAGCCATATATGTTAAAGTACCACATTTCTTTTACATTAATGCATATCGATTATGTTGGGAACTCAATCCAAAATCAGTAATTTTAACAACATGTGCTGCTTCTCCTATTAGTATATTATCTGGCTTTAAATCTCTATGAACAAAGTGATTATCATGTATGTAAGATAGGGCACCAAGAATCCCTTAAATAATTAACTTAATTTCTTTAACTTCAAACCATTAATTATGTTTTAATTTAGTATCCATTAATTTTTATAATGATCCTCCATTTATGATTTCCATTTCTATCAAAATTTTAGTATCTGTTCTTTTAATATCATAAAATTTGACTATATTTTCATGATTTAATTATGAAAAAATGGCAGCTTCTTATTCAAGAGTCTCAAATTTTTTTATAGTTGCTTTTGAGATAATCTAATTTATTGATGATATAGCTACCTTTACTGCTACCAATACTTTTGAGTGATTATTGAATGCTTTAACAACTAATCCAAAAGCACCTTGTCCTAGAGTTTCAACATAAGTATAATAATCGCTAAATCTTGTTTAATGGTCATTCTAATTTAAATATTCTTCCATCTCCTCTTAAAATAAATTATTATATATTTAATATTTATAAAGATTTACTTCTAATATTTCATCTATTTATTCAATTCAAGAAAGAAAGAATTAAATATTTTATTTATAAAATGTAATTTATAATTAATATATCAATTTGTTTCTATGCTTAAAATTCCCATTTATAATATCAATCAATTTTTATAGATCCTTATTTATACTCAATCATATATTCGAAAAAATCATCCTCTGTTTGAATTCTATATATAATTTGTCTTCATGTATTTTTTTGTATAAATATTACTATGAGACAGCTGCCAAACTTAAACTTATAAATTTATTTATACTTCTCAAATTTGATTTAGTCTATGAGTCGTATAATTACAAGCAAAAAAGTAAATTTATTCAAAAATATTAATCATATATTAAAACTGCTTGCAAATCATCTACCAAATATAAATTCATATTTGATACTATTAATTGTAGATGACCTAAAAGGGCAAAAATCCTCATCAAAGCAAATTCGAACCAATATTATATAATAATCTAAAAATCCAAGTGTTTTTTGATTCCTCTTTATTTTTATTCATTTTTTAATCTATTCTATGCTTTAATTCAAAAATTAAGTCAATATCAAACAATAGCAGGTCTAGGCTGTAATTTTAGTGTTAACAAAATTATAAGGTGTTAGGGAAATTTTAAATGAATTTTGAAGTTCCTTATCCAAAGTAGGCGACATTGTCATCATATTGGTTCGAATAGGGTATAAATTTTAAGCCAATTTGAAGGTCTATTATTTATCAAACATCTTTTCAATATTTTATTTTGAAACATTTTATCTATTCATGATATGTTTATCTCTATCAAATATTTTTTTGTTGTTAAAGTATTTGATATACTAAAATAACTTGATTTTGAACTGCCTCAATTTTAAAAATTAAAATAAATATTCATTTATATTTTTTTGTTTAGATCAAATATATGATACTTCCATACTGATTTAGTTGAAAATATTGTACTATGATAACAAAATAAGTAAATTTCTAAATAGACAATGAAGCTAGAAGAATAAATAATGCATTCATTTAGATATTTTATACTTTATTTTAGTCATCAATATTGTATTTTGTAGTAATAGATTCATTTGAACTGCTTTCACAAATGTTTCACTTTTCAAATTCTTCTATAATTTCTGCCACTAAACTCACTAAAGTTGTTTATTTTATTTAATAAGCTTTTACTAAAATTCTGATTAAAATTGCAAAATCATTTTCATCAAATATCCTATTTTCAATGGCCAACTATTTGATCCACCTTTTAAGTGGATATTGAGGACCATGTAAACTATTAATGAAATTAATCCAACTAATTTAGGTTTTGGTATTTTAAGGTATAAAATTATCAATATTTATTTTTGGAGGAGGCATTATCTTCCCAGTTTATAGTTTATCTTATGTTGATTTTGATTTGATCATAGTTAATTTATTAAAAATTGAATTTGAATTTAGACTTTAAGGAGAAGGCAATCTTCTGAAAAAATACGAAGGCTCTTTAGTACTTCTATCTGTTAAACAATCCTTGATGTTTTATAATTTTTTTCTGTGAATTGCCATATTGAAATCATTTATTCTCGCAGAGATTGGAAGTTTTGAATTTTCATTCTTCTTTATAAATGAAGTTTTAATCTCTGTATTTAAATGCCTTTCTTTAATCTATTAAAGGCATAATCTATGACCCCATAATTAGGATAATATTAATTATCGCCCTCCCACATTCCGAGTGTCGGGAGTGAATTGCATACGTTAATAAAATATTATAAATTAATATTACAATATTAATAATTTTTGTTCGATTCTTCAAATTACTCTAGTTCCATTATTCCATTCTTACTCTTCATCCTAACCGCCTTTCTATTTTCTTATTCCTTTCCCGTGTTATTTATCATTTTGCCATGCGCCAAAATAGCTTGTTCCATCACTATAAAAGAATGTCCCATCTCCATTTCTAAGATCATTTTGAAATTAACCTAAAAGATTCAATCTGGTATTACCTTTGTAATATCTACCATCAGGATAAAATAATTCCCCTTGACCGTTCATCATACTATTCTTCCAATTACCATTATATCTCCTCTTATCTGCCCATGTAAAGGTTCCATATCCTAAAATGAAAGAAAATAGATTAATACCTTCCATTTAATCATTTACTATACTGCCTTCATAAATCGACCCATCTGTCCACTAAAATCGGCCTGTTCCATATTTAACTCCATTATCATAGCTTCCTTCGTACTTTGTTCCATCAGGCCATGTTTCTTTGCCAAAACCATTTTGTCTATTATTTTTGAACTCACCTTCGTATTTTGTGCCATCAGCGTATTTATAGATTCCATTGCCTTCAATATTGCCATTCTAAAAATCTCCTTACTATGTGCTAGACATCATTACATACATAAAAATCCCCAGATGCCATAATTAATCTCCCATGAAGATGTTAATTGTCTTCGAAAAAGTAACCTTCATAAATAGAACCATCAGAATAAATCAATTTACCTCTGCCTTCCCTCACACCATTCAACCATTATCCTTCATAAATTGAACCATCTTCTAATAGCTGATATCAACTTAAATTTTACATAAGGTGTTAAGGACCTAGACTTTGAGAATTTTTCATCGTATCTCATATTGTAATTGTATTCTCCATACAAAAATAACTTCTCCTTTACAAATTCGTTGCAGGATTCTACAGTTCCATTATAAGGCTTGATTTTTTCATTTTTTGGTTTTGTATTTTCCATTTACTCTTTTTCTTGCTCAGCCTAAAGATTTGATTTGTATTTACCTCCTTTCTTGCTTTCATTCCTCTAAAACCTGATTAAATTTTAATCACATTTTATTCATCATAGGATGATAATGGCAATGCTTCTGCTTAAACTTCTTCAGGCTTAACTTTTTCTTGAAGTTAGCCTTCTTCAAAGCACATACTTCCTCGTTTATCAATTTCTGTTGAGACTGGATGTTGAGAAATGCATGGACCCATTTTATTTGTAAATTATAAATTCAATGAATAGAACCAAATATTTCACTTGTTTGAATTAACTTATTTCAAAAAAACATTATGAACCATGATTGGATATAATTAATTGACTCGTACATCTAATACAAAAATTTATTATGCAAATAATTTGCTAATTATTGATCCCTCTTTAAAGCAAAAACGCTTTATTTAGTCAAAGGAGATTTATTAACTAAATTTTAAACGAGAGAGCTTTTCATTTTACTTTTTCATTAATCTCAATATATTCATTATTTTAGTAATAATTAATCCTCTCCATTAGTAAATACACAATTTTAATTTATGAGCAAAATGGGATTATTTCTCAAAATCTCATCAAAGAGATCAAAATTAGTTATTTGAAATCATTAACTATGATAATATCTATTCACAATTTATTATTAACATCCAACAATTTAAGTGATGATAATTTGATACTTTAAATGTCTCTAGCTAATCCCTTATGAATTTTAACTTTTTTATTTTTATGATTAGTTTTTCATATGATGATACAAGTTTGATAGGAGAACTATTATACATAATTACTAAAGAATAATTTTCTAATTGTTTATTGTTAGAATTTTCATGTTAAATGGCAAATTATCATATATATTTGATTATTGTTATTCATTTAACCATTAATCTTACCATAAATCTAAATACGTAAAAATATTTAAAACTCTAGATCAATTAGGGCTTTGAAAGACAGATATCTACTGATATTGTGAGATGGATGGTTGCAAAAGGTGAATTAATTTGACATATAATTTGATATATGATATATTATAGAATCATTTTAATTTTGCTAATCGTTACTCAACAATCCTATCAAGTCTCAGTTATTATTTGAGTAATTCAATATCCTTTTTATAATTAGTCTGATATGTTGTTGAATCATCCTAATGTCGTTATTCTATAGTGATTTTATCATCATTAATTGAAATTTAATGTCTAGATATAGGATCAATAAAACTACTATTCTGAATTTTCATCATCATTATCTTCTTCTTGATTATGATCAATTTATGATTTTTAGCTTTCACTTCTTAAATCTAGTTCAACCTATTGAACATTTTCTGTGAATATCACTCCATCAGGATTTCTTCTAATCCATGGCGCTTCCGGTTTGTTGTCCACTTCTGTAGACTATACTATTGTAATCGAATAATTAGAATTACTTGAATTCCTTCAATTAATTTATTATCAAATTCTGGATTCATAGAGGGAGGAGTTATTCGAGGTAAACAGAAAGATAGTCTGGTTTCCAAGTTCCCAATTTTAAAAGTTGGGAAAATGCAGCATAATCTATTGGAAAAGGGAAAAATGGTTGCACTTTTGGGTTAATTTGTGTCTAATGCTGCAATAAAATCTCGAATTGTAGTTTCAAATGATTCCTAAAGTTAATCAGCTAATTAATTTAATAATTCTTTTCCTTTTCTCTTTTATTTATTCTTAAATATATATATATATATTTACTAATATTGTAGCAATAGCAACATTATAATAGTATTCGTACATATTATATGTTCTATCCTCAAATTCCAACTCTTCTAATTCACTGATTAACCTATCCTATTGTTCTTACTATGAAATTAATGAATTATTAGACTATTAACTAAATTCTTTTATTTATTATTTCAACCCATATGATTTTGTCCATAAATCCATAGCTTTTTTATAGTTTCCTAAGTAAAATTTCATAATTCCTCTATAAAATATTAGATCTGATGTTAAAAACACATGTCCATCTGATCCTAAAACTATTAATTTCTTTAGCATTTAAGATGCTATTCTAAAATTGACTGATTTATTTGTTCCTTGCTATAATTTAAGAATCATTATAGATTGGGATTCATCTGGGCCTACAGTAGATGTTTTCAAGGCTAGTAAGCATTCTTTATCAATATAACTTTTCTTATCTCCAGTCAATTCAATTATCCTATTTAAATCTGACATAGCATAATTTAATTCTTTTTAAATAATGTAACATAGTGCTCTGTATCTTAATAACTAAACATTATTTTGAATGTCTGGAGAATGAGAATATGTTTTGATTGCGTGCTCGTAAGCTCCAATTAAAAATAATAAATTTCCTGCCCATAAATGGATATCAGGATCTTTGGGTTTAAGAGAAATATAAGTTTGCAAATCATTGAATGCAGCAGTTCTATCCCCTAGCAATGTAAAAACTTTGGCTCTATTCAAATAAGCTTCAGCAAATTTTGAGTCCCAATTGATGACAATAGTGAAATCATTTAAGGCTTATTGAGGATTGTCCAAACAGGCCCTTACTAATCCTCTTGCATATACATACTTAGCGACTCGATCTTCATTTTTCTCAACTGCTTTTGTTAAATCAGATAAAGCCAAATCTATTTAACCAAAATAAAATCGTAAAATTCCTCGATGATAAAGTAGGTTAGAATTCTAATCATTCAAAGTTACTGCTTTATCCAAATGTTTTAATGCATTTTTTATATATTTATCTTTGTCCTTTGGCATATGTTTGTTAATAAATTATATAAGAGTCAAGGACTTATAAAAATGTGGCTCCATTTTACCAGGAAACAATTTGGAGGCTTTCTGAAATTGTGATTATGCTTTTTCAAATTGGCTGGATTAAGTCATTACAATTCCTTCACATATGATCTTATTATATAATGATGGTTAATCTAATTCTTAGAAGTTTTGAACATAAATCAAATCGTTTAATGCTTTTTAGAATTTGTTCAAACAAATAAAACCTAAATTATTATTCAATAAAATTACCATAAGCTCTATAAAGAAAAATAATCTTCTTGATGAACTCCCCCAATTAATAATTATTAATTAATTATGTAAATACATTTACACCTTCTTAATATTTTCTCTTCATTAAGAATATCACTCCCTCTGTGAATTGTCTTAACTTCGTAATTGATTCTTTATCAACCTCTAAATGATCTTCCCTTTATAAAGTATAATAAGCAGAATAAAAATCCTTCTAATCAATTTTAATTTTGGCTATTTCCTACAATGATTTTGTTACTGCTTTCCTACTATTATTTTATTTAATTGATTATTCGAAGCTCAATATAGCTTCATTTAATTAGCCTTTATTTATGTAAATTTAGCCCTTCATAAAGAGTGCCTCTGAACTATTGGGGTCATTCATTAAAATTTAATTAATAGCTTCCATGGCTCTATCTAAAGACTATAACTCAATGTAGCAATATATTTTTCTCATTAAAATTATTTCATTCTCTGGAATTGTTTCATAAACATTCAATGCCTCAGCTATTTTACCACTCAATCTTAAGCAATCTGCTCTGCCTAATGTACCTTAAAATGTAATTTAATCGTTCTCTAGAACACTTGCCTAATAGAAATCTTGCAAAGCTAACTAGTATTTTTTTATTTTCATTAATAATTTTCCTTTATGTATTAATGCATCATAATAAGTTGGTTATAATTTTGAATATTTTTTAGATAAAAATTCCTTTAAAACAACTATTGCATCACTGTAGTTCCCAATTTTTTTTAAACACAATGCTTATAAAATTACAGTATTTCCATTTAAATCCCCTGATTATCTTGCTCTTGAAAACTAATTGACTGCTTAATCATATTGCCGGCAATTCATATGAATTAAACCCTTAAAGTAAGCTATTTCCTTTATGTATTCTGGATTTATTTGAGGTTGATCAATCTCCTCCAAATCTTTTAAAGCCTCTTAAAATTTTTATGCCTTTATAAGCTTTTCACAATTTAATATTCTTCTAGCGGGAGACTGCGAGAAATATTGATGAACATGGTGCTCACTTGTCGTGCTATTAGGGTGTAATTTGCTAAATTTTAAATTAATTTGTTATACTTCTGTAATGATGATTTTCTGGTAGATAACTAAATTATCTTTAGGTTTTTTGTATTAAAAGAACTATTTAACGAGGTTTTATGATTAGTCGTTGACTTAGTTTTCTTATTATTGACTATGCTTCCAGATTTTCTTTTTGAATCGTCGTTTCTAGATTGAACATTCCGATGGTCAACATCTTCGGTTTTCAAATAACGATTTTGACTTCTTCTTATAGTTTATTACTGTCTGCCTTCCCACATTGAAGGGGTGAAGCATTTCCTTCTTGGAGATAAACTACTTCTAACAAGCATAATTTTTGTTAGTTATTTAACTTATAATATATATAAAATTTGAAATCTAATTCATATTTCCATTATAATTAATTAGTATATAATCAAAGATATAAAATTCAAATAGCATTTCATAAACAAGGAGAACAGAATTTGATCATTATTAAATAGAAATAATTTTGTAGATTTATGTTTAAAGAGATCAGAACAAGATATCATATTTTTAGTAAAAAACAATTTTACAATAAATTTTAGCATGCATTTATTAAGATTAGGAATAAGTATAATAAGAAGACATGATAACATTATTTGTAAAATTAATTTATAATCATTTTGTTTTTGTGGATGCATGAATCAATCTGATCATTTTATTAATAATCAATATTTATTTATAAACTACATTAGATATTGTAAATCTGTATTCATACACCAATTAAATAATAAAAAGTCCTTAGGATTAATAGTATTTTCTTTAAATACTATTAATACATCTAATAGAAATTCTATTTATTGATTATATTATATATCATTGAATTAGAAGTCAAAGTTCTTCCTTGTAGATCTCATTATAATTATTTTCAATAAATCTATGATTGTAAAGAAAATTTCGTAAATAACTCCTAATATTTGCTTACATTTATATAAAACATAAATAATGGTATTGTTATTAATTTGGCCATATAATTTACTTGGCAAATCAAATTTTGTGTCTTCTTGAAGAGAACATGAACTAATAAAACTGTACTCGATATATAGAAGAAAAACAGATATTTCTCAATTTTTTACATCTTAACAGCAATAAATTTAAATCATTGGGACAACATCAAGTCTTAATTTAATTTCATCGTCGAATGGATATAGTTTGAGCAGGAACGAATAAATAATTGTAAGACTTTAATTATTTTTCTGTAAAACACATTCTTAGTTCCAGGATTGACGCTCCTTTTATCCGCAATTGGCTACATCCAAAATATATAACCTGTGATGATGTCAATATAGATATTTAAGAATTTGAAAAGAGATATATCAAATCTTACCCATAAGCTGAGGAAGCCACAAAAGAGTTCTTGAAAATCAAAAAAGAACTACATTACTATTATCTGAATAATCCTTAATTGATTTTGAAACTACTAAAAGCAAAGGATGCTAAGGAGGATATCCAGATTTAGCTCTCAAATACATTGCAACTTAAGGAATCCTTATCAGGTTAGAGTGTATTAATGTAGATGGAAAACAGGAAAAATTAAAAATTCAGGAGTTTAAAGCATTGCAAAGTCAGGTTTATGAACCGTAATAAAAAAATATCCTATTTCAGTCTGTGTGGATGCCACAATTTGGAGTAACTATAAAATAGGAATTTTCAATAATTTCAACAAGAATATATATCATGCCGTTCTGGTTGTAGGTTATAATACTTCAGGTAATTGGATCATTAAGAACTCTTGAACAACTAGTTGGGGAGAACAAGGTTTTATGATCTTGAAAGCAGGACATGCTTGTGGTCTTACTTAAATGGCTGTCAATGCAATTTGAGATAATATTTACATAAATTTAAATCATAATAATCATAAAGTAGACATAAATCTTTATAAAGCTTTTTTCTATAATCCATTATTTACAAAAAAACTAAAATGAGGACATTATTCATCTATCTCTGTAAAATACATCTTAGTTTGTCTTAAAGATATCTTCCCTTTAATTTATTAATAGTTAACATGAACTTTTTGATGCTCCTAAAAAAGTTGTAAAACAATTAATGTGTTCTTTTTGTAAGCCATAAATGTCATTCCGTCTGTGTTTTCCTATTCTTATTTTGTTTCTTCTAAAAATATGGGATTGTTATTAATATATTTTTATTGATTAGCAAGACCCAAAAAGTTTTATGATTTTATCTTAAACCCAATATATTCACATATTTATTTCAAATCACTTAAGGATAATTTTGCATTCATGTAATTAGTCTAATATTTAAAATAACCATCTGCAATGAACAAGTTTAGAATTTCCCTTAAATTTATTTGTTTTTGACAATAAAATATTGGCGATTCACTTTAAAAGCCTAAAACTCTGATTGAAAGATTAAACATGGATGAATTTGCATAATTAATAGATTCAAAAGCTACAAACGGATTATCTCTACCTATGTCCAAACTCATATAATCTAAAAAGAATTAAATGGTGTAAAGTCCAATCTTATCAATCTTAAGTTGCATTTTATGGATAAATTCTTTGAGATTAGCTTTAAACCCAAAATCAAGGCAAATTTAAGAACTATCTTAAAATTATGATTTTATGGTTATGACTTATTTATCCTTTAGCAATGCCTAGTAATTACTGGATAAACTCTTAAAATGATTTAAAAGTTCTTGGTTTTCCATCGATTCATTCTTTTTCTTTTATATATAATTTTTTCCTATCTATTTAAAAGAATTCACTGTAGCATTAGTATCTTATTCTAGTTATTCTATCAAGGTTTTCTCTAAATAATTTTTATTTTATGCTTCACTTTCAATCCTTATATTGAATGGATCTTTTAAGCTTAATTTCAATAATTTTATAAGTTAAGTCCAAACATTTAGCTCAACTCTCATTTTATCCCCTTTGTTAGTAGTCTTACTTTTATTTTATAATAATTGCTGAATTATCAATCTTCTATTTAAACTATTATTAAGTTCTCTAGTAAACTCAAAAAATTTATGTAGATTTATAAAAGTTTATTATTTATTCATAATTAGTTTATTAGTTGTAAATTTTCTAAGGTAAACAGATTTCCTTTACATTTTTGTTTACTCGAATAAAATTGAAAACATTTCTTAAGTTTCCAAGCTTGCCAAATCTAAAAAATTAATTGTTCCAAGTAGATATCTACTTGTTTTAGGAACATATATTTGAATAATCCAAACATCTATTATTAAATGACTATAAACTGTAACAACAGCATATTCTACTGGTCCACTCTTGAAATTACATAATTAAGAATTTTTCACACCAACATGAAACTTTTTGATAAAATGTCCAATAACCCTTGCATCCTTTAAATATGTTTCGCAATAATTCTTAGAAATCTATTCCTTTGAATCATAGAATAACTTCACAAACTAACAATTATTATGTCTTTCCAATAAATTCAAATTATTAATTTAAATGATATTTCCTTTTGGAGACTTAGGCGAATCGCCACTTATAGAGATGCTTCTTTGATATTCAATAAAGGTTTGTCTAGTTTTTTTTGATAAAAAGTATCTATGAAGAAAAGTTGGTAATTAATATCTAAATTTTCTTTCTGTATAAGTATTGTTCAAAATAATCATAGTCATTTTCTAAATAAATTTATCATCAAAGTAATAAATTGATTAATATTATTCAATGTTAATTTTGAATAACTCAATCAAATCTTAATGAGAAAATATCATCTTGAATGAAGAAGTTTTAGATGATAATAATTCTAATTATAAATTTACATAAAGCATTTCACCATCAAAATAATATATTCTTTCATTTCCTTTTTAATCAAAATTAAAATTATCTAATTTTTTATTAAAACTGTAATAAATAGATGTGTGTACAATAAATTATTAATTTCGGTTAATGAAGAATCTGTAATGATTTGAATTAAAATGGTTTGTAAGATCTTTATGTTTACTCAATATCAAAGTCTTTAATTTTATTGCAGAAGGTAATTGACAATTCACATAATGGGATTATTATATGTATATAGGAGGTTTGCTGTCCTTGATTAAAAATTGAGTTATTTTATAATTTAATAGTTGTTTCATTTTTGAAAATTGTTTAAGACTTCCTTTTTCATAAATTCTGTAAAGCGGAATTTACTTTATAATATTAATAGCTTATAATATTTCTTAATTATTAGCCATGAAATCTGGTTCTTCTACTATTTATTTTCCTTGATATATATCATCATACTGTTAAATTTAGGTTACAATACTAATTTTAAATAATTATTCTAAATTTTATTCTTTCTCATTAATAATTTTAGTGTGTTTAACAAACTATTATTCAATCGGTGAAATAGCATATAATTAAATGCTTTTTTCTTCTTTTTACATTAATTTTAAGGACATTTTTTTAGTTTTCAACTGATTATCATTTTTCAAAATAATTTTATTTTAAATTAAGTCAATGTCAAAGTAAGTAAACAAAAATAGACTCAATAATTCTTTTTAAGTAATTGAATAATCTGATTAAAAGAGTAAATTATAGATTAATGACTCAAATCTAATGTTTTATAATTATTGTGGATCTTTCTCAAGGTATTCTATTAATTAATGATATACTGAAACTTATAGTGAATAAGGTTCAATAAGTAAGTTGCTTTTAATATTATCAACAGCTTTTTCTTTATTAAACAAAGTAGAAGAAACTTTTAACTCAAAATATTATTTATTTATTTGCTATCCAAAAACTTGAGGAATATTGAGTGAGTTGTTTTTTTTCCCCTCAGGACTAAGTATGTCATTTAAATGATATTTTAAATCTCTCGATATTTCTATTTCTAGTGTTAGCAATACAAATTTCTAAAAGCATTTCTTAAAATCAGATTTATACATGTCTTTGGATAATCTAATAACTGTTGAAAAAATCTTTTAAGAAAAACCTTTAAGATTCACTGATGGTCCTCCATCTATCATAAACTATCTAGACGTACAAATAAACCTAAACAACAGAATGCTATTTTTTATTCTCTATTTATTTACTAAGTACTCCTGTAATTCCTTATCTGTGATATTATCAATAATATTTAATTATTTGTTATGGAAATGAATTTTTTCAATTCTTTTAATATGATATTCATATGAGATAATCTTGTTAATCAAATTCATATTTATGTATTTGACTGTTGTGTAATTTATATTTGGTAAAATTTCATATGCATAACCACAAATCTTCTTTATCTTGCTTATCTAAGATTAATGAAATTAACAAAGATAACTTTGTACGTAGGCACAACTATTTATATCCTCAGCAGTAATTTTAACTTTTGCTCTCTAGGTTAGTCCTGATATAAATGAATGCTTATCTTTTTTTATATTGTTTGAAAGGTCAAAATTAAATATTTAAGAATATTATTTAAATTTGTCTAACTCTCTTAATGCCTCAGCAACTGTAGGCCAGATAGTGGCTCCATTTTTTTCTCTTCCTTTTGAAACAACCGGAAGATCAAAGCGATAAAAATTATACGAATTTCCTTCTTAAGATGCATACAAAACAATAAAATTTTTATCTGCTGTTAAATCCTTATATTTTATTTTCCAAATTTATATTTTATTCTAAAAAAGAATTTTATATTTTAAAGTTGGATAATATAAGTGCTATTATTTAACTTATTATAAAGTTCCATACTTTTCTTAGAGGTAAGTGATATCTTCTGTATTATAATTTATAAGACTTAATCTTTTAGCCAAACATATAGCTTTAAAAAAACCAAATCCTTTTCCCTTAATTACATCTTTCATAGATTCTTTTTTTTCATCAAAATCTTCTCTTGGAGTTGGTTAACTTTGAGCATTGGCTTACTTTTCAATAGGGTTACTAGCCATGTCAGGAGCTGTTTTAAATCTATTGAAATCTAAGAAATTTGTAATAGATTAGGGCTTTGATTATACTGGACCAAGAATAGTTTATTATTTCTCTTATTACCGCTTTTTTCTAAATACTCCCATCCTTATCAAGGATTTAATTTTATTGATATTAATTCTAACTTTTTCACTAAAATTTGCTTTAAGCTAAATAAACTAGGATTTTAACCCTAATCTTGGTTTAATAGCAAATGAATTTTGTCTTGTAAATTTCGATCTTCTTTTTGTTTTCTTAATTAGGTCTTTCATTTATAGTTATCTATCACTCACAATTGAATAAGGTGGATCGTCAACATAAGTTAATATTTTTAGAAAGTGTTTGGTAATTAATTTAGGTAATTTTTTACCTCCTGGTGATTCTAAATGAAAATATCTTAAATTAAAGAGAACGACTAAACTCATAATGCTAATTTTTGGCTTTGGAGTAATTAAAGCTTAAGACATAAATTTTGTTGGTTCTTTGGATGTTAATTTGCTATCTAATACTTCTTAGATGATTTCTTATTTCTTAATAGGAGAAAACTCCTCTTACCTACTGTGTCTCTTTGTAAGCGGAACAGATGTAATAATATTCTTATAAATCTTACCAACTGAAGGCTTTTAATGTAATGGCTTTCGCTTTTAGAAAGATTTAATCTTATAATTATCAACTTCCTACCACATCTCCTTACTAAATATAGATTCAGGTTAAAACTAACTAGGTGGTCTACTTACAGAAGCTTGTCTGCTGTGAAAAGTCGATTTAGCTGCCCTCTCAGATTGCTTAGTTAAATCTAATTAAATTTGTTAGATTTATTAGGCATTATATAGACTGGATATTGATTCATAATGGGTGTCCCTTTTGAATGT